ATCCCTTTTGCATTTACATTTCTTCCAATACATCCTTGTATTTTTTTCATAGCTTTTAGTAAATTTGATGGTTTACCTTAAGCTGAGAAAACACCACAGAGATTAATTACATTGTGGTGTGCCTTTGCTTAGAAGAAAAAAAAGTATGCATACAGTGCAGTTTCTGAAACTATGATTCCTATAATGTTTTCAATTATTGCAGTAGAGCACACTGATACTGCATTTTAAGGATTTAAGACTAGATTCAGACCTCTTCATGTAGACGTCGACATTGCAGTGCTGGAAAAATCATGGCTTTTAGAGTGTTTCAGATCACAGAAGTCCTTTATGTCTTTAATATAACACTAAGTGTCTCTGAAGAGCTCCAGAAAATGGTCCCTACAGACATCTGTAACTCTTACATGACTACAGAAACCTGATCACCTGGCTTAGATGTGAGCATTTACCATCAAATCACATCCCTGATGCTGAGTGCTTCCATGACTTAGGTGGTACTTCAAAATCATGATCTCCAAGAAGTGTATATTTAATGTTTGCTGGCATACTAATTTAAGTGAACTTTAGCCCATTAACCAGGGGTCTACTTTTTTACAGGATAGGGATGCAATCACAGAAGTACACAGCTCGAAAAACTGTAACATAACAAGAATGTGCTGTTATTTACATGACACTATGAAGTTTTTTAATCCTCTACACCACATGCTGAAAATGCGGGGGCTTTTCACAGTGGAGGAATTGCAAAATGCAGTTACAGAAAGCAAAAGCCTCTAAGCCTTTCCATATGCAAGCTTTCTTTTTTTTTTTTTTTTTTTTTTTTTTGACCACGAGCTCATAAGCTATTCGAAGAAGATAGTCTCTCCTTCTCTCTGTTTACAAAAAGTGAATCACATTTTTGGTTGTACTATATCCTAAACAATGTTAGGACAAAATTATGAGGCACTCGTTAACTGTGGAAAAAATAAAGCATTATTTTTAACCTTTAAGTTCTGCTTTCCAACAGGCTGTGCAGAACAATATTGAGCTCATTATAAGTAAAGTCTGCATGGACACTAACTTTACGGCACTGTTTATATGGAGCACTCTTTACACACAAATGGAACACTTTAGTCTGAGAACAGGAACTTAGATTTTTTGACTTTCAGGCCATGATTCAAGAGTTTTTAAGAAAATGTCATCATAGGAAAGGTTTGTGATTTTGATCCTTGTAGTGTTCAAGGAGGCTGTGTATTTGTCCTGTTCCTCACCCAACATTTTTTGGTTTTATTTAAGCCAATAACATTAGCAATATTTCAAAGGGTCTATCAAAAATTTTTACTGCTTTAAAGTGTACAATTGAATGGTTGAATGGCCAAACAAATGCTTAGAAACTACTTAAAAGTTAAGTGCAAATCTAGAGATTTACAATGAGAGTTCTCACTATAATTGTTGCTATTCTTGTTGACATTTTATATAGGAATTGTACTGCAAAGCAAGACAGCCAAGAAGTTTTGTTAAGTACAGCTTTTACTCATCCACATTTTTTGAACAGAGCAAGAAAATAAGCAAAAGTTATTTGAGCTCTGCAATATACTTTCAAGTTCTGACTGAATTTTAAAAAATGCAAGCATGTCAATCAAACCTCCAAAGTTTTACTTTTTGGTTCAAAATAGGTCTATTCAGAAGAACATTCACACTGTTTGCTTTTTAAGATTTTTATATCCAATAAAATCTTATTGAAATGTCATTTTTAGATCTGAATTGAAAATATCAGCTTCAATTTTAATAGCTTGCAAATGAAAATCAGCTGTGGAAACACCATAAGAAAACCTGTTTTTATGTAATGTTGATTGACACAACAACAACATGAATAAATCAAAATTAAGAAATGGCAACAGTAGAATGTAAAAAAGAATTGATAAGGCATACTTTGAAATGTTCCCAATTAAAAACTCGTGATACCATAGCAATATCAGGCAAAGCATCCAAATGATGTGAGAAAATCTAAGAGCAAAAGAAACAAATGAATCACACAATCATTTGGATTGGAATGGATCTTAAAGATCACCTCTTTCCAACGCCCCCCTGCCATGGGCAGGGACACCTTTCACTAGATCACATTGCTCAAAGCCCCATCCAACCTGGCCTTGAACACTTCCAGGGATGAGGCATGAGGGTTATGGACAGAATAATGTCAAGAAAATATTAAAAGTTTCCAGTGAAATTTCACAGAAACCACATGAAACCAATATAAAATAAAGTCGAATACATTTCCTAAAGAACCCACGATATTTTCCTTAAACAATGACAATTCAGCATAATTACTGCTCCTATTAAAGAAATTAATAGTATATTTGTCAGGTCATAAAAATAAAATCAAGACTGCAGAAAACATGGAAAATATTTAATTGCTAACATTTAGACAAATAATGTAAGTAGTAAACATTTATATTTCTGGTGAACATGTAGGTGTTTACATATTAGTGTAGAATTCTACACTTGTTAGTGTAGAATTTTATCAGACAAGTCATTAGCAACAGGGAGTGGAAACTACTCAGGTTTTGTTTGTTTGTTTGTTTTTTTCTTTCAGGACCTCCTATTCAGGCCATCTGTGGCTCCTTACCTCTTCTAGCCCTGAAGCAGTAGGAAGAAGGAAAGTCACTGTAAGGAAACACATTTTTGGAGCAATTTCTGTAAAGATGCAGGCCATGAATGCTGGGTCCATATGGGGAAGTGGAAATGAGAAAGCAAGGCAGTGGCAATAAAAAGGCATGACAACTAGGTGACTAAGCATGAAAACATCAGGGGAAAACCAAAAAGAGCATGGAGATGCACAGTATTGGAGAGGAACTTCTCTCTCTTCTGAGAAAAGGTACATTTGGAAGAAGAGAGAAATACTGTAGCATGAAATATAGAAATTTGGTAGCCAGAAAAGCGCTTCAAACTATTTGTTTAATGTCATGTCATAAAACTGGATAGCTCCTCAAATAATTCTTTTAACATTGGTTCCACTGACAGGTTTTGTGAAAACATCTTCAAGTCTTGGTACTTTCTACTCAAACAGTTCTTTCCCCTGCAAGATCTACAGAGTGAAATACTGCTGTTCAAAAATACTCCTAATAACAAGCATACTTGGAGATGCATTATTCTGTTGAACCCCTAAATGTATAGAGAGGTGCCCATATAACATCTGAGGTTTAAAATGTTAGTTATTAGCACATTGCCTTAATTCTTTTAAATATTGAAAAAATAAAGCTTGTCTTCTATTTATTCTTGAAGCAGTAAAAGGTAGACTCACAAAGCACTCTATAAGCCAGTAGTATTTTACCACGAATAAAGTAGAAAGTACACACCACATTGAATAAGGTTTATGTGACGCCACTGCTTCTATAAACTTGCCCTGTGTGATTTCAAATACTACTGAAATAATTTCAAATAGTTATGTTTCTCTCCCTGAGAAGCTGTCTTTTTCAGTCTGAAAATGTTTTGAAAGTAACATAACAAAAGCAACTGCTTTGTGGTGATCACAGTCTTTTGGAAAAAAGATTTTTTTTTCAGAAAAGCATGTTATACTTACAGAGCATAACGAAGCATGTAACAGCATACTTTTCTCTACATATCAGAAATATACTGATTCCACTTAAAGTCAGGAGGACTACTCCAACTCCTCCACCAATTTATTCCTTGTATCTTTCAACACAAGTTTCTTTTCTGAATTTCTATATAATAAAAATATACTAAGGGTTGTGTTGTCCTCCTCCCCCCGCCAGTCAGTAGCTGTATTATTGAGCTGAATGGGTTCTGCCACAAAGCCAGTATTTTGCACAAAATGCCAGGCAGTAATTAGCTGGTGACAGCTTCTTGGTCAGAACTAACCTGGGTTGAATTAGAACTTGCTATATGCAGGCTGGCCACCCAGCTGCTGTAAACCAGGTCCGTTTTCAACATCCTCTCATGCCCCTGACACAGTAATTAAAGTTTAGAAGCAAAGAATGCCCCACTTTCCAAACCTTTTGTAGAAAAGACGTTGTGCTTCTTGGAGCAAAGAATGCTTTGAGGTCCCCTACTGTAATTTAAAGAGCTTTGAAATGCCTCAGTTTCTTTGCTACTGGAAAATAGATCCTAGAAGAGGCTTGGTAACAGAGCTCAACCACGAAAAACTACTGGGAACAGTGAAAAACAGATAAAAGGAAGCCTTTACTATTGCCAACTGCAGATAAGTAAAGCTTGTCTTATTTTCTGTTCTCCAAAACAGCGACCTAAAAAGAGGCTTACATCCTCTTCCCCAGAGTTGCACTTCTGGGGATGGCGAAGCGAGAGGACGAAGAAACGACCCTAGAGGTGGGGGAAAGGGATGAGAAGACAGGGAGAACGCCAGGATAGGTCAAAAAGCGCGGATCGAAGGGACAGGGTGCCGGATGAGATACTAGAGGGATGCGCGCACGGCGATCAGCGGCGGGGACATTCAGGGGGAGGTGGAGTGGAGGTGGAGCCGGTGGAAGTGCTGCTGGGGTAGCCGCGGTGCCCAGAGGCAGGGGACAGAGGTGGGACTTGGCGGGTGAGCCCGTGCCCTGCAGCGCAGACCCTTGGTAAGGGACTGGGCTGGCGGCGAGGAGGGGCGGTGAGGGAGGGACGAGGGGCGTGGAGCCGGCGGCCAGCCCGCCCGGGCAGTGGGAAGCAGTCCAGGGACGAGCGGAGCTCGGAGCTGGGGGGCAGCGAGCGGCATCACACCCGCTGCCGCCTCGCGGGTACCCTGCCTTCCCGCCTGCCCCCGCACACGCTCCCATCGTTTCTCCTCTCCAGGTTGCACCGCCCCCGGCCTCGTGTCACCCCTCTCCCGGCGGCGGGGACCGGGGCTGAGACGCCCCCGCGAAAGCAGCACCATGTGAGCGGGACCTGTGCCGCGGCAGCAGCGGGCACGTCGAGGATGTGAAGAGCCGCCTGCATCCTGCACCGCCCGGCCGCCCGCCCCCCGCCGCTGCCCAGCCACCGACTCGCCGGTGTCCAGCGCTACCCGGGCCAGCATGACCGAGGTGAAGGCCAAGGAGCCCACAGCGCCTCCGCCTTCCAGAGACGGGGCGGTCCTGCTGCAAGGACAGCCCGGCCGAGACCCCTTCCGCGGGGAAGCGGAGCCCATTGACATCTCCCTGGACGGGCTGCTCTACCCCAAGAGCAGCGACGAGGAGGAGGAGGAGGACGAGGACGAGGAGGAGGAGGGGGAGGAGGAGGAAGAGCCGCGGCAGCAGCAGCTGGGGCAGGAGGAGGGCCGGGTCTCTCTCTCCTACCGGCCGGGGAGCGGCTCGCTCTCGGACAAGGACGCTCTGGACACCGTCCTGGACACCTTTCTGGCTCCCACGGCTCATGCCAGCTCCGTGGTGGCCGCGGCGCCCTGGTCGTTCTTCGAGGTGGAGGCAGCGGAGGCGCCCGACGGCCCGATGAGCCGCGGCCCCTCGCAGAAGGCGAGCGAAGCGGCCCCAGAGGCTCCCGGTCCGTCGCAGCCCCCGCCGCGGCCCGCCCCGCTCTGGCCGCCCGGCGATGCCCTGGCCGCCGCCAAGCCGCGGCCGGGAGGCGGCGCGGAGGGTCCCGCCGCTGCCCCCAAGGACGATGCCCCAGGGCTTGGGGCGTTGCCCGGCGGGTCCCGGGAAGGGGACCCGGGGCAGGAATACCTGCACGTGCCGCTCCTGCCCCTAAACTCGGCCTTCCTGGCCTCCCGCACACGGCAGCTGCTGGACGGGGCGGAGTACGAGGGCGGCGCGGTGCCGCGATGCTCGCCTCCCGCCCCGGACCTGCCGGGGTACGGCTTCCCCACGACGGATGCCAAGGAAGGGTCCTTCGCCTACGGTGACTTCCAGCCCGTCCTGAAGATCAAAGAGGAGGGTCTCGGCCTCTCCACCCGGTACCCGGGCGGCAGGGCCACCCCCGCGGCGGGCTGCTCCGACTACCCCCCGGCTCCGCGGGCCGGGCAGGAGCCGTCGCTGGAGTGCGTCCTCTACAAGGCGGACCCCACCCTCCTGGCCGGCGCCTACGGGCCGGCGGCGGCGCCCGACAGCCTCCCTTCCACCTCGGCCGCGCCGCCGGGGCTCTACCCGGCCCTGGGGCTCAACGGGCACCAGCCGCTGGGCTTCCCGGCCGCCGTGCTGAAGGAGGGCTTGCCCCAGCTGTGCCCGCCCTACCTCGGCTACGCGCGGTAAGGAGGGCGGCGGGGGCGGCGGGCGGGGCGCTCGCCGAGGGACGGGGCCGGGCGGTCGCGCTATGCGGCGGCGAGAGAGCTCCGCGCATCCTTCTCCGTCCTCCGGAGGGGCGGCCGTGCCGCGGGAGGGGCGCTCCGGGGGAGCCGAGACAAGGACGGGCGAAGTTTCTCTCGGCGAAGGCCTTTTTGGTTTTTTAGGCAGTAACTGCAGCCCCCGTTTCCATTCTGCGCGCTGTTTGAGCACGCCGGGCTGTCCCAGGGCGGTGTGAGACTGGCACAGTGTCAGCTTAGCAGTTGGTACCTAGCGGTTTTTTCAGGCGCGGTGACGCTCCAGGAGATGATTATTATCGGCTTGTTATCGCTGCGGTGCTTCAGTGCCGTCCGATGTCCGGGCCAGTGCCCGGCTCCAGAAGGGGGGTGCAGAGTATTCTCCAGGTTGCTCTCACTGACAGACAGAAGAGATTCATCAATACCTAAATGTTTTCCGAAACATTATGCCCAATTCGGGGAAAAAAAAAAAATCCCAGTTAATTTCACACAAAAAACTGAAACACTTGTATATTGATTTGATAGAAGGAAATTGCATGCTGTCATGGCGAAATGTGGAGATATGCATTACCTGGAAATATGTGCAAAAATACGTACAAATGATGTTACAGTTTCAACAGAAATCCCTTATTTTTTCTAAATACAGTGGTTACCTCTGTTAGTCTGTGCCTTTTGTTGAAGAGAAATTGGAAATATCCTTTTTATATCCCCATCAGAGTTAGTTACTGATGAGAAAGCTGCAGCTGAATGGGGGGTGGTAAACTGATTATGAAAGATTTTTCTAGCTGAGATGAAACTTAGTTATCTCCCATGTGAAAGAGGCCTTTGAAATTCAATTGACTTCTATCTGATTCTGTCTCTGGACAGGAAAAAAGAGTATCAGTCACTGACTCCACTCACAAGAGTTGTTGATCTGAGGAAGATGAACATTTTAACAGAGTTTCTAGATTATACCTTTTTGAGCTAAATGGATTAAAATATAATTATGCTTTTTGCCCACTGCTTTCTGTAGTACCATAGTAGAGACAAACCTTTATGCTGAAAGGCAGTCATACTTTAGTTTTTTCCTGATCTTCTGTAACTTGATTACAAGTTTTAAAATGAAGTTTTTAGTGTAAAATTGATCAATACAGGTTAGAAATTAACGATGCAAGGCTAGATCTTTCATTTCTTTTAATTCTCTTTCTTTTGAAGGCCAGATGCAGAAACCAGCCAAAGTTCTCAGTACAGTTTTGAATCACTACCCCAGAAGATTTGTCTCATCTGCGGTGATGAGGCTTCTGGTTGCCACTATGGAGTACTTACCTGTGGAAGTTGTAAAGTCTTCTTTAAAAGGGCAATGGAAGGTACTATATAATGCCACTGTTGCTAATTATCTGAAATATATCTTCTAGGCACTGCCAAGGACATACTGTTTATTTACTGTTCGTCTTTATAAATATTATCACTGTAGTAAATTCTTCTTGTTTTGCTGACTGTTTAAATATTACAGTGAATACTGACAAAATTCTTCTGCTTTTGATTTTACTAGTATTACTTGTTTTACTTTACCTATTTGCTATTCATTATTTGCTATTTACCACTTAGTCATTCCACATAGGCAGAGTTTCATAAAAATGTTGTGTATCACACAATTTGTTTTAAAAAGTGTAAATACTGCTCAAAGGAAAATATTGCAGGTATGAACTAATTACAGGCAGGTAAGAATTTATTTCGGCTTTGTTCTCTTTTTGAAGTCATGGAATTTTTCTTACTTGCAAGATGCAGTTTTTTGCTTCCTGAAAATTATGGAAGTATTTAAAATTTCACTGAACTATTTCAAGTAATAAAAACAATAAATGTGTTTGTCTTTTTTTCCAAATAGCCATTAAATTGCAAAGCCAAGCTGTGGGTTTTGTAAATCAGTAGCAATACCTATGTTTATTATTTTCTTTTTGTATTATTTTAAATGCCTTGTCCGCTGAGATTTTAAATATAATTACAAGAGCAGATTGTTTTATATAGTTCAACAAATGAAGCAGTACAACAAAGTCTTTTACTCTTTATGCTTTGTCTCCTTTTTTGGTTTTTATCTGATCCTGTCAGAACTAGGATATTCAATTTTCTGTTCCATATACATAACAAAACCATTATTACAGTGGATAGGATTCCTTGAAATAATAAAATGGTATGATATATTTTCTTGTTGTGGTATATAGGTTCTTCAGCTTTATAAAGTTTATTTCTTTCCAAATTGGAAAAGTAAAAGCTTAGCAAAATAATATCATTAGAATTTTTGTTTCAGTGTGCTGTTGCTTTCTGCTTTAAGCTTGTGCTCGCGTTCTTCCTTTAGCATATTAGATATTTGCAAAGTGCTAACACTGGGCTGGGTGGTCTAAGTGAACTTCTGAGTTAGTGCCACATTTTCTCTAGTAAGTTCAATGGGTTTCATGAGAAAGCTATTAGAAACATATGTGCTGGGCTGTAAGGCTCTAGAGTACAAGTCTCAAGAGTACATTAAAGTTTCACTGACTGTGCTAGCTGGTCCCTTGGTTTGGCTTCACATTTTTTTGCTATGTTTTGCTACATCAGCCATATACTTTTTTTTTTTTAGAAAAACTCAGGGAGCTGAAGTTTTAATACTGAGTGTAGGGTAATGTATGAGTGCCGTATTTTAAAATAGGTTTTATTTTTGTTTTTCACCTATAAAATAATGTTGAAATTTTTCTTTGAATTTTATTCTATCACTTTTAGATTTTATCTCTTTCTTAATTTAGTATCCAATTTTGTTTGTGCAGTAGGTGAACCTACTCAAAACTATATCTTATTACTGTTCACCAGAAGTATTTTAATGATAAATGTCAAGAAGGCATATAAATTGATAATAGAAATATATTAAATTTGTTTTCATGGATTATTCAAAGTCCAGATTATCCAAAGTATTTGCAGAGTTTTAACCAGATTAAAAAATAGACACCTATAGAGAGAAATGAGAGGTCAGTACATTTACACAAACAAAAGGTTTATGTTTTACACGGAAACTTCATAATTTCAAATTTAAATTGTTCCAAAGACTGAGAGTCTGGTTAGGAAGTGCATTGGTGTTTTTTGGTAAGAATATTCAAAGAATTTACAGCTACATAAGAAACCTGACTGTAATCAGAAGAGGAACAGGTTATTGAATCTGATGGGAAGAGTGACAGGTATGAGCAGTGTGGGCACTGGCAAAATGAACAAATGCAGCTACCTGTTTTTGTGTAGAATGTGCACGTCTACAGAGAGCTCCTTAAAGAGATGGACTTCTTATTTAAATGGAAGCACAGTATACAATTACCAGCATTGAAATAATCCCATTTATGGATGGATACTTGATTCCATATGGACTAATTTTTTAAATTTTAGTGCTACTACGGACATGTGGGGTTTTAATAATAACTTATGTAAATTAGATATTACATGTTGTGAGTAAAGAGTTATGGTCAAAACTCTACTTCTCTTAAAATGTCCATACAGTACTGATCATTTGAGAAATTAAAACATGATTGGGAATAGCTGGTTTTTGCTAGTTTATGGATTTTTCCTCTATCTTGAGATCTTTCTTGTATGTTATGAGGTTTTGTGTGTAGATAACAAAGTAAATAATATAGTAGTATTAAATTTGTTGAAAAATGTTTGTTTATCTTAATTACCTCTGTGGTTTCAGATGTGTTGGCTGTTTCAAATAATTTTTTTTTTTCACAGAAATTGTCCTTTTCATACACCATTTATTTTACCTTCCCTGGTGTGTGGACAATACTGTATTGGTTAAATACTTCTGTTTGGATGAAATGGACTGTTATGTTATCCAGAAAACTCTGTTTTTTCCATCTCTAATCTTTTTGAAAAGAAACTCAAGCTGATTTAAAATACTTAGACTAAACAATCATTTAAAACTGTGTAGGCTAACCTAGAAATGTTTCTATACTAATTATGAGTTAATCATACATATGAATATAACTAGTAGACACATGCAGCTTAACGGGATCAGAGTTGTGTGAGGATTTCTAACAGGGCATTAGGAGAATGGAGATTAAGAAATGAACTCTTACTTTTTTAGCAGTAAATTGTCAGACAGTCATTAGTAATATCTTACTCTTCATGTAAAACTGTGCAGGATATTAATGATCAAAGAGATTGTGGAACACCATGGTAAAATTATGCCACTGAAGAGGAACCCAGTGTTTAGTGTTTTGGGATTCTGGAGTTACACTGTTGCTAACACATGATTTCTTGCTAGCCTGCATTCTTACCTTGGTGTTGAAAGTGCTTCCTTTGCAGTAGTTCTACTAATGAAAATTTGAAATTGCCAAAATCCTGAGAAAAATTTCAAGTGTTATTTTTCTATAATAATGTCCCACTTTTCATTTTTTTTTTCTGTATTTTTATATGCACTTAGTTTATATTAACAATGTCTAAGGAAAAGCAGTTGCCCAAACCTGAAGAGTTTGAGACCAACTTGAACAGATGATATTACTGCAGGTCAGTCAGAAACTACCTCTTGATTTGTTTAAACCTCGGAACCTATTTCAAAATTGATCAAATAGTTATACAGCAGATTTTTCTAGTTTTAATAGGTGTTTCAAGCTCAGGGTAGCAACTCTTTGCAGATAATGGCATCAGGGAACAAGTTCAAGCATGTGTAGTAGATAACATTTAACTGACCAAGTGTGAAATTTACTTCTCTCTGAGACCTGAATTTGATATACCGTCTGACAGAAAGTAAGATTTCCTTGAGAGGTTTCACTGTCTGTGTGTGGAGAGGTACAGTGGAGGAATTGGTGATGAACTACACCTACACAGTAAGAAGGCTGTTCATGACTTCAAACAAACTTTCTGATAAAGTTTATCTAAATTTTATCAGTGTTATGGTAGGCAGTTTTGTGATGAGAGTATGATTCACTATGTAAGTAGTGAAATACTATGCATAAGGAAAATTGCTTGTCTAAGCAATTGTGCTTTTCCATATCTAAAGAATGTAAAATGACACAACATGCCAAGTATTTTTAAAAAAAAAAAAAAAGACTAACGACTAGTAGAAAATCCTCTTTGAAAACAAAGAAAAATGCAACACCACTGAGACCTTCTCGGCTGTGAAGATGAGGAGAAAAAGGAACCTTTAACATCTATGTCATAACTCCACAGGGACTTCTTATTTTTAATCCAACTTTCCAGGCTGGATCTTGGGATCAGAATTTGGTACAGTATGTACTGCAAACCTTATAGTGATGAAATTTTCATGAAATAGAAAACATACAAACATACATATGGCAAGTTGAGAGATAAAAATGCTTTTCACTCAGTATGACAGATTTAATGTTACTAAAGTTCTTTTATTTTACATGGGTCCAAAATATGTTACCACACAATAGCTAAGTGTATTTTCAAATGCAAATATACAAAATAACTTTATTGATGATCCTAAAATACAAGTGGAAAATGTCACTTTTGTGAGTTCAAAGAATTTGCATCATGAAAAGAAAAAGACGAAAATCTGCACTGATACGTAATTGTAGATCTTCATCATAATTCTGATTTCAAAAATATTTGCTGTCCAGCCATTTGACAAACATCAATTTGATGAATTGATTTGTATGAGGCACAATGATTGAGCAAGCTAAGGAAGCATTTGTTCTGGTACTTTGGCTCTTGTGCTAATGCTGGGCTTCCTACTGCTCTCATCATGACTTACTGGTGTTTTCCTGATAGAAATCAGCTGCAGAAATGTCAGTTATTACATTTTTTCGTTTAATTTTCATATAGTATTTTAGAAACAGTATCCAATATTATCTTAAATATCTTTTCAGGTGGAATACTAGCTATTTTAGGTTGTTTAAGACTGCATGCTCTAAAGAGCACCAGCACCTGACTGCTCAGAGTTGTTAATGCTCTGTTCTAATTTCATATGTGCACAATGTGAGCAACCTGAGCTGCTCATCTGAAGTTCACTTTATAGTGAATGGAGAGGAACAAGAAATTTTAGGAAGAACTTCACTGACTGACTTTTAATACATACTTGAGATGAAAATAGCAGTACTCTAACAGTGCTGCAGTAATGATTTGTCAGCACTGAGTATAAAGGAGTGTTGGCTGAGCACATGCTCACCTGTACGCTGTCTGCACGTGGTGACATGAATCCCACCCATCTCACCACAGTAGCTAATATGTTTATGTAGTATATAAAAGAAATGAAATAAGCATATAAAATACTAGCTTAGTATAACTTATTTTTAAGTATTCTATACAAGCTATTATAGATTATATTATATTATTTCAAATATACAATATCTTAATTATTAAAATACTTATAAATTATATAACGTAAGTATAT